TCACTAAACTTTAGCACAATTTTCATTTTCAAAGGAGATAATTTGGATTATGCATAAACTATGTACATGTACATATCAATACAAATGAAAGTAAAGGTACATGTACATGTATTACCGCTCACTCTGCTGTCAACTATCTTGAATTTTCCAAGTACATGTATGTACAGTATAGTCTGGGTATTCCTTCATTGAGTGAAGCGTTGTCTCAATGAATCAGTACATCTCAGTACATGTACCAGAATCAGGCCACACATTGCCTAGAAAGAAAGAAGAAGAAAATCATAAAAGCACAAAGCTCCAGTGCCAATTCCAAAAAGGATCACTGTACTGTAGCCCATGGTATTTTTCAAAAAATGGCCCTGAAATTACTCCCAATTTTTATTACATTTTCTGATACATATTGTTGTACTTATGCTATGTAGAAAGTTTGAGCTGATTCCGGTTTAAATTTTTTGAGTTATGACCGTTTTTAAAAATCGGCCAATTTCTGAAAATATCCCTGTACTATAGCCCATGGTATTTTTTTTAAATGGCCCCGAAATCACTTCTAATTTTTATTACATTTTCTGATACATATTATTGTACTTACGCTATGTAGAAAGTTTGAGCTGATTCTGGTTTAAATTTTTTGAGCTATGATCGTTTTTAAAAATCGGCCAATTCCTGAAAATATCCCTGTACTACAATGCATGACCCACGCTTCACTCCAAAATCAAATCAACTTTTCATTACATTTTCTGATACATATTGATGTACACATGTACTTAATTAAGTAGCAAATGCCATGCACATTCTGATACACATACATTTACAATTTTACATGTCGATTCATTATTAGTTAATATTACACATACATGTATAACTTACTCTTCCTTTCTCTTCATGGTTTGTGAGTATTACAACTGTCTCCACATTCTGTTCCACCAGAAATCATCAATAAAGTGAGAAACTGGATCCTAAGATGCATAATGTAGGCATTTTCCTTTTGATTTTCCTGAGAGAAGAAGAACAAATAGAGAATTAATCCTAAAATATTAAAGACCTAAATCCTTAAAGAGTAAAGACCACTCAAAATAAGTACATTAAAGCTACATGTAAGTAGCAGTTATAATTAATTCTTTTTTATACAAATTAACATCTTACGTCAATGTAGCACATGTAGTTTGTCTTGATATACATGTGTAATCTGACCCAGGGACATTAGGACTTTCAATTGTAATTTGACATTAGAATGATCATCTAAAAACAACAGTAACAACAACAAAAATAATAACAATAACAATAATAACAATGTGTGGAGGTGTTGTTTACAAGCTAATATGCTAGTGTACCTGTTCTTTAAAATAATGTACAACATACATTTAAATGTACGTGTGCATGTACATGTACAGAAATAACTCAAATTTTATGACAAATAGAGTACAATGTACATGTAGGTAGCCAATTTGTGGGAAAAAACCACAGACAAGTAATGAATCATAATACATGTAAATGCAATACATGCACATAATGCAGTCACATACCATTGGTATTCCAATCATTGATGTTAGGATCTGGTGATATGAGATGTTAAGCTGCACTTGTACATGTATGTGTTAGGACGACTGAAGGATCTGATAAAAGACAATAGAATGAAATACCAGGAGAGGCAAAGCAATGTGACCAAAGAGACCAGGATATAGTTTCAGCCAAAGGTGAGACATAACTACAGTGGGCTTTAGTAGGACACAGTGCCTGACTAGTCTCCAGGAAGTCTCACAGGCCTGTCACAGAAAAATCTGTCCCACCCAAATTTTGTCCCATGAGACAAAATATTTTATCCTAGGGCAAAATCTTTCAGAAATATTTTGTCCTAGGATAAAATTTTTCAGAAATATTTTGTCCTAGGCAAGCTTTTATTGTCCTACCATAGGACTAATTTTTTTGTCCTAGGACAAAATAATATATGAAATATTTTTGTCCTAGGACAAATTGTATCTGAAATATTTTATGCTATAGGATCATAATATTATGCATATATAGACTATTTTGATAAGGAAAATTTACTTAGCACTCAGTATTAATAATAATAATAATAATAATAATAATACATTTCATTATTGCACAATAATTGTCTTCATGCAACTTTTACAACAATTACATGACCAAACGTAGTCCTTATCAGTCCAAACATCTTCTGGTATTTGTTCACACTCTACATGATACCACTCCTTATATTAAGAACATTTTACCATTCTTCCTTCATTACTATAGGTTGTCTGCACAGGCAGTATATAGGTAACCTGTATTGTTTGGATAGTCCAGGGCATCTAGCTCTTAAACAAGTAGAAAACAAAGACATCACATTCTTTTCTAAGCATTATAAAAGATGAAAACGAAGCTTATGTGAAATATAGCTGCAAGAAGTTGGGTCTTAACCAGCACAAATTGACATTGCTAAAGCAAGGGCACATAAACCACAATCTTATTGTCCATTTTGCCTTAATTTGCATACTAGGAACAGTCACTTTAATTCCCTGTACTCGGTGCATTTCGGTATTGCTGCTATCTGCTCCCTGGTACGTTTATCAATACCATCGCTGGGCAAGCTTCATATATCAGTTTGTTATAATTGATGCTTTAAACTATTTAAAATACACAAAACACCTACACTATCATGATATAGTTGACCATTCAGTCATCTTGGTCTGGTAATACGGCGGTTCCCCATTTTGCACTGAAAACAAACTTTTCAGCTCTTTTCCATATCTGCCTCTTTCCATTGGCGGCGGAACAAAATTTATTTTGGGGGGGCTGAACATCAATTAAGTTATTAAAATGGGTGTGGTTTTATACAAAATGGCTGCTAATTTTACAAAAAATGGTGCTAATCTTTTATTGTTGGATTTAGAGTAGTTTTCTTGCCTTTTTCTTTAAATAAAATGAAGAGATGATGAATGCAGGTCTAATTTTACTGATAAAAGTCAGTTTTATTTTCTTTGTTAGTCAGTTGCAGAAAATTTCTGGGGGGGGGCTCAGCCCCTCCTGTTTCAAGACTGGGGGGGCTTTAGCCCCCTCTGCCCCCCCTGTTCCGCCGCCTATGCCTCTTTCTGTTAGCACTACAACCTTCTGGACACTTTCTATCAGCTAAATACACAGCTGCCTTCTCCACAAGATCATCCTCTTAATTCTTTCCTGGGTTCTTTACTCCGCGGTTCTTCACAGTCTGTCATCCTTCTTCGATCTGAAATCTTCTTCTACGTACTTTGAACGTATAATAAAGGGTCCCACATGCTTTGTACTTGGATTCCATAGATAAATAATTAAGGAACAAAGTCGAATACAAAGATTTACAGTTCCTTTACACTTTTCTTTTGGTAGGACAAAAAATTGCTGACGCGGACATAAAATATCACGTGATATTTCTATCCTAGGATAAATTTTCACGGGGGACAATTTTTTCGTGACAGGCCATTGTTTGGATGTGGGAGGTCATCAAACCGGCAGGGATGTGTGGAGTTCGTGACACGTTTGGTGCTAAGTTTCTTCACCTCCTCGAGCTCAAACTGAGGACATTAACTTGGTTCATTCAGAAAGAAGGGAAGAAAGCTGGTGAAGGCTCCGGTGCTGCTCGAGTGTAGCATCTATGATTGCAGTGCACTGATTGCCTGAGCCACGTGGGGAGGAAGGTATGGCCATGTCGAGGTGGAGCTACTCATGTATATAGACCGGATGTTAAATGAAATTCAAATTCTAAGTTCAGTAGTGCTGCAGGACCATAGATATGCAGGAACCAAATGCAATAGCATTTGATTGTGTCATTGTAAGTGTTTACTGATGATTCATTTAAGGATCATTACAGCACCATGAGAATCTTGTAATTATTGAATGGAATTTGCTAGCATAAAACCTAAACCTACAAAACTTGTCAATGACTATTAATGCACTCACAAAATTTTGTTTTTTCACTAATTGTATAACATTATTCTTTAACAAGCTACAGTAAAACTAGGGGAGCATTTTAACAGTTTTTAAGGAGCATTCATTGCCGCACAGGTTCATAAATATCATCAGGTGATATTTGACAATCTGCATATGCTTCTTCATTTTCTTCATTTGATTTTTTCTTGTGAATTTTGTAAGGTTCACAGACTTGCATTGGAATATTATCATCACTCCTATTATTATATTTGGTAAAAGGCAAGTCATAAAATAATAAGCTAACTTTGTTTGTTTATTAGTAGCATATGAACTCTTCTTTCTAAAGGCAAAACAATGAATTTTACTGATTAATATTGTAAACTATACACTTATGAAGTAATTGATATGAATAATA